GTCTTCTCTCCCTCCCTCTCTCTCTCTCTCTCTCTCTCTCTCTCTCTCTCTCTCTCTCTCTCTCTCTCTCTCTCCCTCTCTCTCTCTCTCCCTCCCTCTCTCTCTCTCTCCCTCCCTCCCTCTCTCTCTCTCCCTCCCTCTCTCTCTTCAGGTGTTGCTGTTTCAGTCACTACTTCTGGTAACTGGATTGGGAACTTTGTGGTTGCTATGGTAACCCCATTACTTCTTGGTTCTATACTAAAGACGGCTGGTACATTCTACATACTGGCAGGGTTTCTCTTTGCCTCATTTTTATTTGTGTTGCTAACGCTTCCTGAAACAAAAGGAGAGAGTTTAGAGAGAATTGATGAATTGTTTCTGAGACCATGGCTACAGAGGATTAACATATTCTACTATCTGAGGTACAAGTACATGTACTGTGATTTACTGATTTTCCTTAAACTTGCATGATAGACAAGCAGAAATGTGTTAATTATGCATATGCTCTGTTGTGTCACTAGTAAGTAGGTGCATCGATTTACCTCCTGACTGACCACATTATTGCTACACAGCATGTAAACTGATATCACAGTATACATTACAGTGGCTGTAATGTATACTGGAATATGTGGAAGTATGAACAGTAGCAGAGGGCAGTGAAAGGATGCAAAGGGGAAAGCATGATTTGAAAAAATGCACCTGCCATGCCTTTTCATACTGAACTGTAGAAACAAGAAAAAAGAGACTGAATAATTATATTTCAGGCTTTTTCCTATACTATTCAGTAGATCTATTCCTTCTTGTCATCTTACCTATTGTATAGCTCATTTGACTTACAAAACAGTTTCTACAACACTCTTTGGTATATACAAATAGCTACATGAATTGCATTTGGGGCAATGTATTAAAAATGTGCATGAATGTATATTGAAATTTATAAAGACCCCAATACCCCATTATCAAGGATCAAATAATAAGCAATATTTAACCTTTATTCTCTGATAGGTGTTGTTGTCCATGGTCTAATGCTTGTAGGGTAAGGACTGCACAAGAAGAGGACACTGTAGCCATTGTTGGTATAAAGAATGAGAACAAAGATGATACGAGTGATGAGGCTGAAGATGAGTGAGTCTTTAATCATATACCCTCTCTTTCTCTTCCTCCTCCCTGACTTCCTCCCTTCTCTCTGTCTCTCCCCTCCCCTCTTTCTCCCTTTCTTCCCCTCTACCTCCTCATGCTCCTCCTTCCCTCTTTTTCTTCCTCCTCCCTCCCTTTCTTTTTCTCAATCTTGATACTCTAATCATGTACATGTACTGTACTTTCTCTCTTCTCTTTACAGTGAAAATGAGTCACTGATAAAAGATACAGATGTCCTTGAGTCTAGTCTGTCAGCTAAATTTGACAAATAATGGATGAAGCAACCTTTGTATCATTTTGTGTACTGACAGCATTGTTAGATTTTATGATACAGACAGATTTTATTATTAATATTTGCTATTAATTTTTTAAAAATTTCAAGTTGTACAATGTAAAACATTATAATAATAGAACTATGATGTGGGCAACACTTATAGATCTGATTGGCAACCCAATAATTAGATGTGCTCTTGCCTCTTGCTTAGTAAAATGTAATCGGTCAATATAGTAAAGCAGAGATAATGAATACGTAGCATTATTATTCAGTAAAAAAATCTACCAAGATTACTTTATAATTGCAACAATATTACATATATACATAGATCTGTGCGCTCTTGGAGCCTACTAGTAGCTGAGCCAATTGGTAACTGGTGTTTCGGAATAATACATTGTTGACCAGTAAACAAAATGACGAACAAATTATACAATAAACAATACACCAATAGATCTAGTGCAATAAGGAAAAAACTTATACAATATGGAGAACAGAATTTATACAAATAAGTGCAAGTATAATTACGGTATGCTATAAGTATAAGTGGCACTGAGTCACACAACACAGTTTTGGGGTACTTTGCAATAACTTGCCACAACCTAAAAATACAATAGCCACGCAGTCAGTGAATAATTTCACTAACCATTTCTTCTTTTCTGTAAAAGTAACTTGTTTTTACTTCTTGGTCAGGTTCCATTAAAAAGCAATTATCATCTACGTTATTCTTATACCAGACTCTATTACCAGCAATGATGGCTGCAGTTCGATCTGCTCCACTAGCTGTCTCTTGCAGTGGTCCGCGACGAGGAAGAGCTGCCGCTATCAAGTTAGCTCTTGCTTCTCTAAGCCACATTATAAATAACAGCAAAAGTATCATCTTTAACTAAAGACTTTATGGTGGCTTTTTTATAATGGCGTTAGATACCACAGGAGTATGTCTATGGTAACTTAATAAATGTATCACACTAAAGTCAATGATTTCGTATAGTCTACTGACATAAGTTATGAATATCATAATCAAACAATACACACTCTTACGTATTATAAATTCATGTTCACTCTATGAATATCATTACAAAATGTTGACAAATCTGTGTAATTTGACATCCATAGCCCTGAGGCCTGCCATCCATGGATCCAAATGTCAAAAAGGGTGAGTCTATGCGAGAGCAGCGAGACTAAATACATAATGGTGACAAAATAATGAGTATATTTGTGTTAAGAAATCTCTACTGTCTATCATGGAATGCATTATATCAGAAGCCCATACTCTCCAGTCCTTCCTCTAAAAATTGTTTATAGATTCTCATAAATTTTGCTGTGAAGGCCTCAAGATGAAAGATTGCTTTACTACCCAGTTGTGACTGAGCTTGATACTGAGCTGCTAATTGAGTCACTTCAGCTTTCAGTGTACCATCACAGTTAGCAACCAGCTCATTCAATATCCTCTGTAGAAGGAAAAATATTAGAAAATATTAAAATTAGTTTTATACATGTACATGTGTAATCTCTCCCTTTCTTTCAGTAGAAGAAAGTTTTCTCTTTCAATCAAAATTCACTATGAGTCTCTCATTCTCTTATCTTTCTCTCCCTCCCTCTATCCCTCTCTCTTTCTCTTAGTTACTTTAAAAATAATATCAGGTGATATACAATGAGTTAACAGCTCATAATAATGTCCTCTTACTTCAAGTAACCTCAAAAATAAATATGATACATTTTAATTAATTTTATTAAAATGCTTTTGTGTTACAATATACCTCTTAGGACTCTGCTCTGTGATGATCATTGCAGCTGTTTCACGTAAGAAATCCTCCCACTCACAATCAGGGACAACCTGATCATCATTGAAGGGATACCTATCAAGAAGAGAAAAAGAGATAAGGAGGTGAAAGATAGAACAAAAGAGGTACATCTTAATGTATAGTACATACCGTATATAGCACATTATTTTTGGTGGAGTTTTATTTTGAAAATTTGCAAGCAGAATCACCAATATTAAAACCGCCAATCATTAATGCGCATGCTCAGTAATGTACGTGTATACAAAAAATCGCCAAATTAAAAACCACTAATTACAATTTTATAGCAAATCACCAAAATAAAGAGTTGCCAAAATAAAGCACATAATTAATATCATTATAATTCATACCCAACAGATCTGATTAGGTGCATGTGTTTGCTGCATGGCCAATTAATTATTAATCACACAAGTGACACGAGGAATTTGCAGTTCCTCGTCATTAATGATTAATTGGCCATGCAGTAAACACATGCACCCAATCAGATCTGTTTGGTGTCTCAATCATGATTCACTTACTGCTAAACACGACACGCCTCACAAAGCAGTATAGCTTTACGAAGGTTTCTCTCTGACTTCTCTGCAATCCACTTGGCTAGTGTATCTGGTATAGTCAATGATTCTTTATGACAACATACTGTAAGACACTACATATCTACAATAATAAAATATAATTTAAATACTAGAAGAAAGTAAAACATCAAGGAGCTCTACCCCATATTCACACAATCATCATAAAATTAGGTTATTTAACTTTAATATTCAGACGACCCTAGTCACCCTACAGTCATAGGCGGTTGCAGACTTGAAATGTTGCATGGGCTGGGAATTAGAGGGGCACGCAAAGTGCGCCACAATTTTTGGCCACATCCCTTTTTACGTTAATAAAACGGCGTTTTCCTTCATTTTCATAAATTAAGAGTGTGGTCAAGATAGTTTCAAGCATACTGGTACTTCTGACGACTTCTTATGGCTCCTTAAAGCACTGGAAACTGCTGAGATCATAATCAGGGGGTTAGATAACTTTGTTAAGAGGCTTGGTAGTGATACAAGAGTCCAGGAGTTGAGTAATTTGACAACTTGAGTAATTGAGCAACCAAAATTAACCTGGGCACAGCCCGGGCCTGGAACCGCCTATGCCTACAGTAGGTTTTCTATACCACTGCATAAAATTATTTTTAAAAACTCAGAAACACTTATTAACCTCCTAGTAATTGTCATTGTAAAACTGTCCACTTATCAAGTTTTAATTAAGTGAAATAAATCCCACAAAACCTCTACCTTGGTATATAATCTACACTTATTCATCAGATAATGTGTTCCTTACCTCATCTATGGTTGGAGCAGGGACCCTAACAGCCAAACACCTGCTCTTGATGGCTGGTATTAGTTTACTGGTTGAGTTACAGACTAGTATAAGACGACATGTTCCTGTGTATAGTTCCATTGTATGTCTCAATGCATGCTGTGCATCTTTAGTGAGTCTATCAACTTCAGTCAGTACCACAACTGAACAATAAATAAAAACATAATAATAACAATTGTTAAGGAAGAATGGTAATATCGACATAATAATACCTGGTATGTTAATAATAAATAATTTATGTGTCAATAATTATGTTAAAAATTAATATTGTTCTAACATGCACTCCATGGTAATAGCACTTAGAAGTTACTATGTAACAGAAATAGTGAAAAATACTAGTGTCTGTAATAGTAATTGAAATTGAAATTAGAGTTTTAAATACATATGCATGTTCTCAAGTTGTGTGAAAACTTTGAGTTGATTCCCATCAAAATTGAATTCTTAAAACTTTTTACTTTTTGTTCCTGGGCCAAATTTTTGCCAAAACTGAAAAGGAGAGAATTCTCCATTTAAAAATTTTCCTGATACATATACATGTTTTTATGTTGTATAGAAATTTTGAGCTGATTCCGATCAAAATTGCCTATTTTATGAATTTTTAACGCTGCTCCAAAATTGGGTAAAAGTCCCTGTACTATAGTACAGGGTCGTTGGCCAAAATTTGCCAAAATTGAAAAGGAGACAATTCTCCATTTTTATAATTTTTCCTGATACAGTACCGCTCAGCTATAACTTTACTTATCGTACACGACACTAGTGCAGCTTCTCTATACACTCAATGCACACTAGTGCAAGGCACACAAGTAGCACCTGTATCATGTATTTATCATGTACATCATGTATCTTATCACATTCTGTGGAGCATGAGTCTATTGCTGGAGATCACGCATGTAAAAGTAAAGTTATAGCTGAGCGGTACTGTACATATACAAGTTCTTATGATGTGTAGAAAGTTCAAGCTAATTCCAATCAAAATTGAATTTTTTTACAAATTTTTAAAGTTGCTCCAAAATCAGACCAAAATCCCTGTACTAAGGTCCCGAGCCAAATTTTGCCAAAATGAAAAGTTGAGATTTTCCATTTTTATAATTTTTTGCGATACATATACATGTACTTATGTAGTATAGAAAGTTTGAACTGATTCTAATCACATTTGGATTTTTTATGAAATTTTTAAAGTTGTTCCCAAATTTGGCCCGGGACCGTGTACTATAGTACAGGGACTTTAGCCAAATTTTGACAAAATTGAAAAGTTGAGAATTCTCCAATTTTATAATTTTTCCTAATACATATACATGTTCTTATGTTGCGTAAAAAGTTTGAGCTGATTCCAATCAAAATTGAATCGTTTACGAATTTTTAAAGTTGCTAAAAAATCAGACAAAAGCCCTGTACATAGTACATGACCTCGGGCCAAACTTTGCCAAAATTAAAAAGGATAAAATTCTATATTTTTATAATTTTTTCTGGTACATAAGCATATACTTATATTTTTGGATAGTTTGAGCTGATTCTGATCAAAATTGGAGTTACAAACTGCTATAGCAAGTTTACTGACCTTTAAAGTCTTTGTGGCTAGTGTCCAGTGAGTGTGATTGAGCTACTTCTTTCAGTAACCCCATAATGACAACACGATCATGAATACCTGCATCACTAGGGGAAAAGAGAGAGA